CCTTTGGCTTCTCAGACTAGCCAGCCCTCCTCGGGGCCCCATTTTCTGTGCGTGCTTTGAAAATGTCCAATAATCCGGGACTGCTTTGTTGATGCTGACGTTCCTACCCCCCAGCTGCCGTCTTCTCCCGTCTTCGCCCTGCATCCGGGAACCTCGCCCGCAGCTACGGGGCGCCCGCACTGCCTCCCATATGGGCACACTGCCCAACCACACTCTTACCTGAGTCCCTGGGCACTTCCGCGTGGTCCTGCCGCTCCTCTGCTCGCCCCTCCATGCACATCATGTGGGTCCACGCGGGGGCGCACTGGAGCAGAGCAGCGGTGGTGGATGCCGACGGAGGGCTTTGTTGGAACTAGAGGGTGGAGGGTGCGTTCCCCTCAGACCTCAGGTTTGCCTGGGTCTTCCCGACCCCATCCTGCCCATAGTGTCGTCCAGCCCTGGGCTCTCCTCGCGTGGGTTGGGTCCTGCTGTGTCCCTGGCTCGAAGCCTCGCTCAGTCTGCTGGGCTGACTGCTGGTCATTTCTGCTTTGTGTAGTTCGGGATGGACGTGTTCGAATCCGTGACTGGAGAAAGGAGCAGCCGCCGAGGGGACCCGCTGCCGACGCCTTCAAGACCCGGCCCTGCTGGTTCTTCACGCATCACCCGGATGGCTGCGTCCTGTCCGCCGCCCGCTGCCCATTCGCCCACGGCCCCGGTGAGCTGCGGCCCGCCCAGATTACGAGGAGGGCCCGGCAGCTTCCTCGACCCGTGCCCGCCGAGGCCTGACCCGTGGCCTTAGAGGCCAACCACCTTTTAGGGACCCTCGCAAGTCCTGCTTCTTCCTCGTGCCTCCACCTTGCAGATGGGGACTCTGCGCGCGGTGACAGCGCCCCCTGCCTGCTGGGGGAGTCACCTGCCCTGTCTGGCCTCCTTTCCTGGGGGGTCGGGGGTCTGGCCGTGGCGACAACTGTTTCCTCTTTTCACGCTGACCCAGGGCAGCTGAGGGGTGAAGGGTGGGTCAGCGGGAGCAGTGGGAAGGGGGTGAAAGAAGGTGACAAGAACCATAGATGCATTATGTGAAACAGCAGAAAGTTGTCTTCCAGGGGCAAGAGTGGGAGTGGGGCAGGGATAGCAGAGCAGCCGAGCTCGGGAACAGAATTGCCGGAGTGGGCTTCGAGGGCACGGGGTGCTGATAGAAGAGTCTGGCGGGCTTAGCTGGGTTGACGAGGCCGAGCGAGGCCAGTAGCGAGCTGGTGGTTTGGGCTCTGTGTGCATTCTGGTCAGGAAGGCTGGGCCGAGCAGACCCGGAGCCCAGCCCTGACCTGACCCAGGTGCTCTGGCGCAGGTGATAGACGCCCCATCTGTGGGCAGAGCACCCGGCGGGAGGCTGCAGCTCTATGGGACAGACATGGGTGACTCAGCAGAGGGGCCTGCTGGAGTCTGACATCTGCGGGGAAAGCGGGTCCCCTGCACCCCTACTTGTACACAGGAACTGCAGTGAGCTGGTCACTGGGCTCGACCGGGTGCTTCCTGTGTGACCCCAGGCCAGCGCTCGTCCTGCCTGCTTCCTCATCAGTAAAGGGGGCAGCATTTCGTACCCTCTCCTTCAGCACGCACTTAGATGGTCTGTTTCTGCCGGATGTCCCAGATCCTCTCGGGTTGAGCTGTGTTTGTGTGTCCCCGGAAAACATGTACCTGTGAGTGGGGCCTGGTGTGGGAACTGGTTTCCTATGTTAATAAGGCGACCACTGCAGCGAACCTGGGTCCCTGAGCTGGAAGGGTTGGGGTGTGGAGGGTGTGGGTGACCAGTGGTTCTGTTTCTACCTGGGGGGCTTTGAGGAATGCTCTCTTGCCTGCATTTCGATCAGCGCTGTGCAGGTGATCAATGGGCAGAGATTTAAAACAAAAACCTTTCCAGTCTGTCACAAATCAGCGCTTTTGTAAACGACAATAAAAGTTAACCACTAGGGAATGAAAATAAAAGGCTAACTACGTCACAAACAACCTGTGGTCACCAACTAACGGTGGCTGCGTGTCCTGGACGGTTCCTCGGCCACATAGAGAACTGGAGCCCTGCCATAGCAACGCATGGACGAACCTGGAACACATAATGTGTGTGAGATTGACACAGAGGGTCTTATCCCAGGACAGGCCAATGCAGCATCAGGAGCCGCCAGTGGGGGGCGCTGGGGAGTCATTGCTTAGAAGGTGCCGAGTCTGGCAGGGAGGGAGACGTTTTGGAGGTGGACTGTGGTGAGGATAGCACAGTGTCATCTGTGATACAAGGCACAAGGAGGCGTCATGCTTGGTAATGGTTCCAAGGAGGGCTTCCATGTGTGTATCAGACGGCAATGATAAGGCCTTAGGATAAGACTTCACTGTAGACCTAAAAGGACTGCAGGGCTATGAAAGTGACTGCTCACTGCCCATGTCTCCAGGGTTTGCAGGTAGCCTGCTCTGCCCACCACACTTACCCTCCTGGACCAGCTGGTACGGCTTGGGGGTGACCGTCAGTCCTTGGGGGTGTGGAACGGGAGTGGACACAGGACCCCAGTTCAGTTTCAGGGGGCTGCTGTCCCAGAAACATCACCTGTGGGAGGCTCGTCAAGATGTCAGTGCGGTGAGGGCGCGCCCTGCAGGGGCAGGCTCACTGGGTCATGGGACGATCCTGGTCTTCGATTCCTTGGTGGTCTCCACGTGGTATCACTTCTCCCATCCGGACTTCCTGCTGCTGTTCGTAATCTGCTCTTAGAACTCAAAAGTGATTGGCTTAAAGCACCCTACACTGATGTGGCCTCACTAACAGCGAAGAAACCCACACCAAAGAATTCCATCCACAGGTACCGAGGCTACAGTTTAGAACGAGCCATCCGGAGGGACACAGGCGTGATGGTTGCCAAAGTTGTAGTGACCCCTGAGAGATGGGGTCATGGGCAGAGGCTGAGGCTGCCCTCTACAGTGGGGAGGACAGTGGAGGCCTGCACATGGCTTCTGAGAATGAGGGATGGTTCCTCTGACTGTGAAGACTCAGACCTGTCATCAGTGACCTCAACCTGAGAAAGTCTCATGCTTTGTAGGTCGTAAAAGGACATCCCCCTGGTACTTCTTGGGTAACAAGTCCACAGGGGGTGGAGAGCAGCCTAGGGAGACTCACCGGAAGTGAGCTGTGGGTGGATTTCCCATGTTTGCAAATACTCAGGGTGGAGGATAAAGCTGACACTTGAGGCACAGTCATAGCAGCTGCCATTCTGTGCACTCATTCAATGTCCATAACACTGCCAAAGGGATGAGCACATCCCGTACATGAAGACATGGGCAAAGAAAGTCAAGTGACAACAAATACCCAGTGTGTCAAGTCACCCAGGACACAGCAGAGCCTGCGTTCAGGCCCTTCTCAGCGTGCTGTCTTTCTGACAACAGTATAGGGAGGGCATTCTGACGTGGAAGGCTGGTGTTGAGCTGCACGGTGTATGCAGGTGTACAAATGGCTCCTCCAGCCCCCCTGGAGAAGTGGGAGCTTCTCTCCTCAGCTCCACAAAGACAGGGATGGTCTCCTGGTCACCAAGCAAGCCTACCTGTCTATAGTGGCCCATAGGAGACCTGGTGTAGTGCTGTTGGACTGCAAGGTCAGTTTGAACCACAAGGTCAGTGGTTCAGACTCACCAGCTGCTGCTCAGAAATCCTGTACAGGGTTGCTATGAGCTGGAACTGACTTGATGACACTTAACAACATAAAGACCTGAAGCAGGTGTTCGTTAAATGTGGGATGAATGGAAGCATTTACCTATAGGAATTGTTAGGTGCCGAGTCGGTATTCATAGCAGCCGTGTGTACAACAGAAGGAAACACTGCCCGGTTCTGCACCAGACTCAACAGTTGCTACATTTGAGTCCATTGAGGTTGCCAGTGTATCGATCCATCTCGCTGGGGGTCTTCCTCTTTTCCTCCAACCCTCTTTTACCAAACATGATATCCTTCTCCAGTGACTGGTCCCTCTTGACAATATGTCCAAAGGATGAGGGACGAAGTCTGGCCATCCTGGCTTCCAAGGAGAACTCTGGCTGCACTTCTTCCAACACAGATTGGTTTGTTCTTTTGGCACTTCATGATACTTTTAGTATGCTCCTTCAACACTATAGCTCAAAAAAATATCAATTCTAGGGTCTTCCTTATTCACTGTCCAACTTTCACATACATATGAGGTTATTGAAAATACCATGCTTGGGTCAGGCGTACCTTAGTCCTCAAACTTATCTTTGCTCTTCAACACGTTAAAGAGGTCTTGTGCAGCAGATATGCCTAATGCAATACATCATTTGATTTCCTGACTGCTGCTTCCATGAGCGTTGATGGTTAATCCGAGCAAAATGAATTCTTTGACAACGTCAATCTTTTCTCCATTTATTATGATGTTATTTATTGATCCAGTGGTGAGGATTTTTGTTTTCTTTACATTGAGGTGTACCCCATACCGAAGGCTTTGATCATCAGTATTTTAAGTTCTCTTGGCTTTCAGCTAGCAAGGGTGTGTTATCACAGGTTGTTACTGAGTTTTCCTCCAATCCTGATGCCATGTTTTTCTTCATAGAACCCAGCTTCTCGGATTATTTGCTCAGCATCCAGGTTGAATAAGTATAGTGAAAGAATACAGCCCTGTTGCCCACCTTTCTTAATTTAAAACCATTCAGTGTTCCCATGTTCTGTTAGAACAACTGCCTCTTGGTCTATGTACAGATTCCTTATGAGCACAATTAAGTGATCAGGAATACTCATACGTCACAATGTTGTCCATAGCTTGTCATGATCCACACAATTGAAAGCCTTTGTGTGGTCAATAAAGCAGAGGTAAATATGTTTCTGGTATTCTCTGCTTTCAGCCAAGATCCATCTGACATCAGCAATGATAACACTCATTCCATGCCCTCTTCTGAATCCAGCTTGAACCTCTGTAGGGGGAAATGTCTGTTTATCCTTTAATTTACCCGTTTGTCTGCCCATCCATTCACCTGCCCACCACCATCCACATGCCCACATCCATCCACTCACCCACACACCCACTCATCCATCCCACAGAACCACCTGTCCACTCATACACTTACCCATCCATCTGTCTCCTTAAGCATCATTGATCCATCTACACGCACCCATCCTTCCTTCCACCTCTGCACCCAGAGCACAGTTACTTCCAGGAAGAACACCATTCCTAGTATCTCTTGCTTCAGTGGTCCTCCAGAAATTTATATAAAATCCTCTGATGCGGTGGTGAACACAGTGGTCAAAGCCAGAGCCTTGTGCGGCCTCTTCTTCCCCCTGGTGTCCACAACCAGGATCTGGTTGTGGACTCAGGAAGGGAAGTGTGTCCCTGGGTGAAGGACAAGGTGGGAGGCATGTTTGACCCTGCCCTCTGCCGTCAGCAACTCTGAGCTCTGAACTGGTGTGAGCGCAGCTGCTGATCACCACTGACTGAACCTCTAAGGGTTCATGTGAACCATCCACAGACGGGGATAACCTACCAGTGTAAACTCTATCTTCCTCCAACACTGCTGGGGTAAGTGGGGGTGCCCATCTTCAGCCCCCCTGAGGCCAAGGCTGGGGAAGGAGCATCGACTCTGGACACCTGGCCTTGCCCATCCACCCACCCACTCACTGAGCATGCCAGCCATCACTCTGGGTGTGTGGGGCTCAACACCCCACCCCTTCAGTATTGGAGGAAGTCGAGTGGGAGCTTTAGGGTGGAGTCCCTGTGGGGGTGTGTGTGCCACAGAATCAGGCAGACTTGAGAGCCT